CAAATACCAACCAAAACCATCAGGAAATACCGAAACCGAACCAACTTGAGAACATGAGGAATATACCAACTTTTTACCGATTTTTCAAGCTTGTATACATTACCAAGGGTTCATAATACCAACAAAATACCAAAAACAATCGGATTGAAATACCAAATACCAACTTGGTATCGGTTTGGTATTGGTATACCAAAAAGTTGGTATCCGATTGACATCACTAGTTCGAATCATGGAAGTGCCGCGTGATTTTGGCTAGAATTGAATGATGTAGGTTCTTGAATGTTTGCATAATCAATTATTAATAGCTAATTGAATGTATCTGCCCTCTACTCGGCCCCTAAAACCTTTTATTTAAGAAATATAAGCAATGATTGTCGCGTGCGCGTCACGACTGCCAACCATAAGCGCTACCATATTATAGGTTGAACTAGCTTTTTGCTAGTCCTGACCGCATATAGTAGGTTTTCTAGTAGTTAAACTAGAAATTCCTACCAAAGTTCGTCCTACCCTTCACTCAATATACCCTAATGCGTTCAGCAGAAACTGGGTCCTGGGCTCAATTTTATAACCGCCGTGGAATGGATATGGCAGCACTGGCTGCATTTCAGCTGCAGAAAACTGCTATCAAATGCAAAATGGTTTTCACGCATTTCATTCCATCGTATGTTGACGCTCCAAAGAATCATTTCGTTTATGCGTTTGTCAGCACTGGTATCATTGTAAATGTTACCAAATGCCGTGCTTACATTAGTAAGCGATGTCGCAGTCAACGATGCCGCTGGCAATGCAGTTCTCAAGCACGCCTGTGGTGACGGCACGGTTTGTCAGGAGACGCTCGATTGCATCCACCGAACACGCAACAAACCGCTTGTCGACAAGGCGCTGGAATGCCACATACATAAAGTCGAGGACCATTGCGGCCCCCGCTGTCTATCTGGTCATTTTCGGAGGGGCTGATATCAGTAATCAACCTGCGCAGGCGGCAGAAGTCGTCCACCCAGACGCACGACTCGTGGCCTTTCACTCGCAGCAAAAAGTACTCGGGTGCATGAAGCCGTAGTTGCCATGCAGCTCCCCCCCCCCCCCCAAATGCGGCCGAAGTCGCTGTCTGGCCCAGCGTACACGGCCCAACATGATCTCCAGGCCCATGTCACTCCACTTTTGATGACATCATAAGGGGGCCTAAGGACAATAATGGCGCGGTGCGTCACAATCGCTTTAAAGCTACTTGCCAAAAGTTGCCATTTTTCAAAATATTATTTTGAAATAAAGTTACAAGCAATAAAAATATTGTAATAAAGTTGTTGATTAGATCGATACCATATCTGAAGACTAACTGAAAAATGATTTATTCATAGTAAAAATATAAGCTCGATGCGTTTTTACGTTGCTTTCCTGCAACTGCAGAGGATTTTTAAATCGTCTATATCTTCAAAACCGGCCATTTCTTAGCATATTGCTGCTCTTTTTTATCGCTAGAAAATTAGTTGGACTTTCCCACGACACCAACGGTTGAGCGATATGTGTAGTGTCACCAACAATCTTCAAACGAAGTTAGTCATTTTTACGTTGTAAAGGAATGGAGCACCCCTTGCGAGCATCAGGGGTGACGTCACTCAGGATCTGTCTCTGATTGGTCGGCGGGAGAGTGACTGTACCTTCTATAGATGGCCTTGAAGACCTCACAGTTAGAGGACGCGCAAAAGGGTCATGCGTCCGATGCCGTCCAGTAGAGCACTTCACGGATAGGCTTTTCAGGATCCGGCCCGGCCCATATCCGGCAAGTCATATCCAGATCCGCCCATTATCCGTGTTTCTTTGAATTTCAAAATCCGGCCCGCCCATGGCCCGTATCTCAGCCATACATCCAAAAAATATCCATAATAATCCGTTTCATTACAAACCGGTTGTGAGACTATCAGCATATCGCCATAAGATCCAAACGTTGGACACTAGGAAGCTATCAAATTGTAATAACAGCAATCTTAGCCACTGCAAAATACATTTTGTGGTAAAAGCTGCATTGCTAAGGATAGGGGTAACACATTGACATGGACCTCAGCATTTCACAAGGTTGGCTATCATTAGAATTGTTAAGAATCTACTGTGGTCTATAAAAGGAAGAGTACTTATTCATATAGCAAAACCACAATCAATTAGTAAGTCAAATGGTAGGTAATAATAAGTATAATACAATGAATAAATAAAGTTTCATGACATTGGGAACATTCTATATGGGAAAAGGCAGAATCAAAACACCTCAAAACACATTGTTTGGAAACTAGCCTTGGAATGTGGTCTGACACAGTCTACAAAGAATTTGACACTGAAAACCCAGCTGAAAAGGTAGGTATTAAATAGGCTTGAGCCTGACTGGTCCTAAAATGAAAGGAAGATAAGTTAAACCGGCATTTTGTCGTATCAACAAGACGACACAACACAATACACAGACAAAATTGACGATAGTGGCGCAAAAAAGCAAGCAAGGATTGATTTTTTTAAGATCCGCTCTCTCTTTATGAAATAGGCGAGCTGATGACGTAATATTGATTCGTTTACCTGTTTAAGTTGAATTTCTGATCAGAAAATATTTTTTGGCGTCATTTACACTGAAAATGTTGATAACATCAGAATTTAATATCGTCTTGGATCATTTTTATTTCTAAAAAAATCATCCACGAGGCATTGCGCCAAGTTTAGAACTTTTTTTGCAGCGTTTTATTCAGCTGGTTAAAAGCATCTGTTATTGCGCATGTGTTTCTAACCTTGCGCAGTGTTTGTTGCTGTCTGGAAGATTGAAAAATTCGAGAACGCATTATCGTTTTTATACATATTATATGGGGACTGTTCTCAGGACAAGTGAGTTATTAACACATTTTTTTTACATGATTCGTATCTTATTCAGGAACCAGCGAGCCATGGTGGATATGATGCCATGGCGGTTGTTCTCGCTTCCTCGGTTAGGAACATGGCTGAGTCTGCAGATTTTATGTTGTGACCATCTATATTTAAAAATTTGGTTGGTGCTGTCATATACCTTACAGACTATCGTGGTCTTCGAGGCGCGGGCCAATCGACTCAATCATTCACGGTACACCATCATTCATTTCCTCGGAGGAAGGACCAGCTGCAGACGCTGCCCTCTCATCACGCCGCCGTTTCATTATACTTCACTCCATTTCTCTGATATACTTTCTAACGAATTGTGAGTTTTTCGGGCCAGCACGGTGAACATCAGAAGCATGTCGCGGCAGGGTTTTCTTCGTTGCACGTTTATGATAAGTCAGACACTATTTTGTCATCGTCCCTTATTTTGGCTTTGGGACGCCCTGACTCACCCGTTGCCATAACAAAAATACCTGTGAAAGCAAAAATCCTTGCTTTTTTCTCGAGTGCGTCAATAGATGCATACGAAATTCTTGCCCTAGTGACGCCATATCAAGGACATTAAAAAACAAGAATGGCGATTGGTGAACTTGAAACACTTTCTCGTACACCATAGAGCTGTCACCAGAAATGGGTGTCATTAATTCGATTAAAATATGATTTTCACGAAAACAATAACTGAAAATTGAGGTCCCAACTCCCAACCCCATTATCCCTAACAGCTATACGCTATGGAATTGTACTTTGCGTGAACTTACCACTCATTTCAACGCAAAACATTTAAAGTTCCTTGAAACAATATACAGAATGTTATAGTGCTCCATGTTCGCACCAAGATTCGTACAGCCAAGGTTGGGACGCTTGTCACGTGATCCTTTTTTCTGCTTTTCCCAAGCCTACTCACGATTTTCATAAGCCTTGATTTATTCTTGAAACACTTTGCACAGAGGCGTTTGTAGTTAATTTATTTACAAAAAAAATAATTCAATGATATTTGAAATTAACACACATTCTTACCCGCAATCTCAAACAAACTCAAACAAAAGTTGAATTTATTCGCGTTTCATTAATTTGATCAGCTGGCAACCATCACCCATCGTCCTCGATCTAGTCGAACTTGGCGCACTCGGATAGTGTTCGAAATTTGTGACGCTTGTTGCTATGGCGACCGGGCAGTACGTACGCTTTTTATTCGTCAACAAGTGCTTGTGAGCACACTTTTCAACACAGTCTTTATGCGTCAGTTTGTGTGACGCGTCATATCTGAAACATGCTTCGTGAGGCTCCAAACCATTCAATTCACCTTCAAAAGAACTGTTTTGTAACATTTTCGATATGTTTTTGGGCTTAAAGGGACTATCCCACCTTTAACATGGGGTTTGAGTTGAGATAGCCAAGTTTGCGGCGAGGTTCAGAAACCACTATCTATCTAGGTTGCAACCCCCGCGGCCTCTTGGTGTTGAAGAAATTCGTTCCCTTCATTTGAAAATGGGCCTTGTACAAGGCCCTATCTTCAACATGGAGCGACCGTTAGTGTGACGTCACCTCGTTTAGTCATTCTGATTTAAATGGGTTTGTTCGTTGAAAAATCGCTTAAAACTTGGTCTGAACTTTGTTGTGGTGCCTACAGAGTAAAAAGAATCAGCTTTATGACAGTAATGTGGCCTGGTGAAGGAGGTAATTTTGGGCTGTGACGTCACATATTTGAAAGTTTGTGTTTGGAATATGGGAAGCGTAAGATGTTTAATGAAAAATAAATGCCAGAACCGTGTTCCTGGTCATCCAATCTATAAGGTCGGGCACAATTTAACTGGTTTTAACAACATTTTAAAAGGTGGGATAGTCCCTTTAATTGCTAGCTACATTCATCCTATCTTGCGTGAGGATAGTCATCACTCGGGGACCAGTCGTTGAAAGCAAGAAACAAAGACGAGGAGAAGGTCTTGTAAAAAGTCGCAGCGATTGCATTGAGCATTAAATGACGAAAATATTTTATCCCCCCCCCCCACCGCCTCAGGCGATCACGTGCAGTCACCCACCTGGTTCGCACCACGTGAAGCACGAATGTTTACCTGCGACCTGGCCTGTGCTGACTGGTGGCACACCTCCGGCAGGCTCTGCCGGCAATGTCGCTGCGGCACACGCTGCCCGCGTTCGCGCTGCTGCTGCTGGGCCTGCTGATCAGCGCGGCCGTGCTGGCTGCCGAGAGACTCTGGCGTCGCTCCGACGGCCGCTCCCGGCAGTACCGCCAGAGGCACCAGCTCGCGCAGCGCTGCCCGTCCGTCATCATCACCTCACCCGAGCCGATCCCTCCGCCGCGACACCTGACGGCCGGCCGCGACTGCCACCTGGCGGCAGACGATCGAACCACCGCGGCGCCGCTGTTCGACTGGCCCGTTTCGTCCAGTGCTCCGGTGCGGTACCTTTCCACTGGGTCGGGCCGACCGTCGTCACACAGCGCCGACTCGACGGTGACGGACGCCGAGGTGCCACAGCACCACGTGCAGGTGCTGGTGCACCGGCGGCTGGCCAGCGCGGCGGGCCGGGGCTCGGCGGTCGGCTGGACGGACGGGCCGGGCCCCGGCGACGTCCCGTCCACTGTCCCTGATCCGCACAGAGACGGCGCCTGAACTCACTCAGTGGTGAACCTGTGCGAGAAACACGCACCAGCTGCCCGGCTCGCTGGCATTGCTTATACACCGTTCACTGTCACGGTGTCACGGTTGTCACGATGCATCGTAGTGCACACCTGCCTTGTTTTGAGTTTTTTTTTTTTACTTCCGGCGACACATCCACGTTGAATGATCTACAATGCAATGTTTGTAATGGTTGTATGCACTTTTTAATTTGTCAACTGAACACTGGCGGAACCGTTTACGACGCTTAGATAAACAAATAAAGAGTAGTCACCAGATGTCGTGAACTGTTTGGTCAAGAAACAGATGTGTCCATAGGTGTAGGAACAGGGGGGGACGGGGGGACGGTGGCCCCCCACTTTTCATAGTGGGGGGGGCAGCAATGTTAACTGCCCCCCCCCCACTTTTTGCCGAACTTTTTAATGTATTTGTAGGTATCACCCCGAAGAACAAACTTGACGGTTCTCCGGCCTGCCCTTCCATGAAGATTTCCATTTGTGCTTCATCGTTCTTGAGTGCAATTTTCCTCCACCCAATGAAATGTAACTTTGTCAGAAGCAATAAGTGGCAGCTTAGGGGCAGCGCGCGCTGCAAAGAGAGACAATACTGGCGCAGCAGAATGCGTAAACGGCGTAAACTAACAATTTGTTAGGCGGTCTTGCATTAGTTGATCGGTTACTGGCATAGGCGTAGGAACAGGGGGCAGGGGGCAATGGTCCCCCACTTTCGAATGGGGGCCAGCAATGTTAATTGCCCCCTCCACACACACACACACACACACACACACACACACACACACACACACACACACACACACACACACACACACACACACACACACACACACACACACACACACACACACACACACACACACACACACACACACACACACACACACACACACACACACACACACACACACACACACACACACACACACACACACACACACACACACACACACACACACACACACACACACACACACACACACACACACACACACACACACACACACACACACACACACACACACACACACACACACACACACACACACACACACACACACACACACACACACACACACACACACACACACACACACACACACACACACACACACACACACACACACACACACACACACACACACACACACACACACACACACACACACACACACACACACACACACACACACACACACACACACACACACACACACACACACACACACACACACACACACACACACACACACACACACACACACACACACACACACACACACACACACACACACACACACACACACACACACACACACACACACACACACACACACACACACACACACACACACACACACACACACACACACACACACACACACACACACACACACACACACACACACACACACACACACACACACACACACACACACACACACACACACACACACACACACACACACACACACACACACACACACACACACACACACACACACACACACACACACACACACACACACACACACACACACACACACACACACACACACACACACACACACACACCTTTTGCTGACTTTTCACTTCTTACGTTTCACGCTCGCTCGTAATAAAACATGTTTTTGGATGCTTCTGGAATTTGCATGGGTGCCAACCAGTGGCGGATCCAAGGTGGGGTCACATGGGTCATGCCCCCTTGGGGCCCGGGGGCAGCACAGGCCTACCAGGGGCACCACCAACCTATCAGGGGCACCACAGACCTGACAGGGGCACCACCGGCCTGTCGGAGCACCATCGGCCTAGCAAGAGCACCACTGGTCTGCCAGGGGCAACACAGACCTGTCAGGGACACCACAGGTCTTCCAGGGGCACCAAAGGCCTTCCAGGGGCACCACCGACCTCGCAGGGGCACCTTGGGCCTGTCAAGGGCACCACGGACCTGTCAGGGGCACCTCAGGCTTGTCAGGGCCCAGGGGCACCACAGTCCCTTCAGGAGCACCACAGGCCTGTTAGGGGCACCAGAAGCCTAGCAGGGGCACCACCGGTCTGCCAGGGACACCACAGACCTGCCAGGGGCACCACAGGCTTGCCAGGGGCACCCACTGGCCTCGCAGGGGCACCACCGGCCTCGCGGAGGCACCATGGGCCTGTCGCTGGCACTTCAGGCTCGTAAGGAGCACCACAGTCCTTCCAGGGGCACCTGCGGCCTAGCAGGGGCACCGCAGGCCCGCCAGGGGCACCACAGGCCTGCCAGGGCAAAAACAAATAAATAAAAAATGAAAATAGGGTACCACCAAAATTAAGTGGCCGAAATCAGTTGATGTTTTAATTTTGGGTATAGGTAGGGAGGGGCACTACTTCGATTCATGACCCTCCCCTTGGAGTTTTCCTGGATCCGCTCCTGGTGCCAACGCGGCTGCGGAGGCCAGAGGGACGCGTCCATGAGATTTAATTTCTGGACGGGAGTCTCCCCGAGATTTTGGTCGATTTTTTTCTTGTCACGTTTTTTTTTTAACCAATTTGAGCATGCTTGCGAAAATAAAGTGGCCGAAATCCGAGGAGAAAATGGATTTTGGGGGTAGGTGAGGTTTTGTGCCTCTGGGAGCCTGCCCCCCCCCCCCCCCACTTTCGAAAACGTTCCTACACCTATGGATGTGTCACTGGCTATCAACGCGTTTCCTCGCAATCCTAGGGATGCCGTCCGATGGACCCCCGGTTTCTCGCAAATAACTCGCCGATCACAAATAACCGATCACGACGAAACTTTCAGAATCCCTGCGTTAATCTATGTCATAATTTATCAATTTTAAACATACCCTGAAAAGTTCATGACCCGGAACCAAATGACTGAACCTTGGACTACCTGTTTCTCTGCATAGACCATGACAGACTGGAATTGCGATTCGGCGGATGTCAGCGCACGCCGCACTTTATCCGTGCGTTTCCAGACCTCGTTTGTGATTATGATTACATGTGAACTTGTGTTACATTCTGTTATTGTTATCACTAACATAGTTATTGCACTATGCGATGCTGAATTAATGATAATAATAAAATAATAATAATTACAAACGTGCTCGGTGCTAGCATGGGACGACATATTTGTCCCATGCGTTATGGTAGGTATCAAGGTCACATAAATGTCAGGCCTGGCTGGATCCTTGATTCACGGCCACCTTAGGTATATGAACTTGACTCACTCTTCTGAGTCTTGTAATTCGGGCAGATTTCGGAGCTGATTTCGAACTAAGTACCCATCCGAACATTCGTAACTTATGTTGGCGCCCGTGCAAGGTGTCAATGTATCGCTTTGCACTGATGCAGTGCAATTTTAGTAGGGATACCTACACTCAGCGCCTTGAGGGTAGATTGAAACCAGATTGAAACAGGTTGTGCACTTGTGATTTATATTTTATACTGTTTATTATTTCGGAGGCATTTATCGACACTCGTGGACGTTGTGTGTGTGTATACGTACAAAATTAGTATATACCTATCACACATCAATACAGATAGCAATATGCATCATACGGCCATTGCACCCGAGTTGCAGCATGCACTGACACGGTTTGGCGTCAACTTCCATAGAACGACAGGACGGAGACCTGACGAGTGACGCGAATCCTCCCAGCTCAGGGGAATGTGTGGAAAACGGCAACGCTGACGCAACACTTCTGGCCCGAGCTGGCATTATTCGGGTCTGGTGGGTGGTGCGCTGGTGACATGCCCTCCCCGCCGGAGCCCCACCCTGGTCCGGATGTTTCCGAATTCCGACGGGCCGGAATGCTGTGTTTACAGTTGATACAATTGTCACTAGGCTACGATGGGCACAACCGACGCCCGCTTACGTGTTCGACGTACTTGCATGCGTGCTGAAAGTCATTGAGTGAGTAGTAGCGACTATTGGGCCGGTGGGTCGACGGCGGGCCCCGGCGACTATTACGCAGATCGCTGCAACCCAGTCAGGAAATGTGGGGCTTGATCACGTTATCGTATCGCCTTCATAACCTACTGCGCAAGAGTTACGACTGCTGGATTATACGGCGCTTATCAATCAAAATCACGTAAGCACTAGGGTCCACGTCAAGTGAAAGCGAGCAAAGAACAAACTAGCCATAAAAATCAGCTCAATACATTTGCAATTCATACACATTATGACTTACTAACTTATCCACGACATTAATCCAAGCCTTTCGGCCACGGCTGGCCGTAAGGCTTGTCAAATGCTATAATAGACAGCAAACACAGCATACATGTACAGTCACCAGCACTTGCTACTAATCACCTCGTTTTTGTTTAGTAGTTTGAAGACCGATCAATTCTCAGTCGCGCAAGATACGTCAAACGATCCGTTTGGTCCTCCGATTTTCGAATATCTAACTTGTTTTTGTATATTCAAAGCATTTTGGGATGGGGAGCCAAAAAACCTCTTTTCTGCCCTAAAGTGTGCCCCAAGAAGTCGTAGAACCTAGCCCCGCCTCTGATCCACAGACCACTAGTGCCATCTCTTGTCTGCCGAACAAGCCGCAGAAGTAAATAAGGTCACGTGACCTTTGCACACGCTACAATTACTACGCAGCTGTAGTGGGGGAAGCGGGGCGGAGGCGTGGAGAGGGACGCGATCGGTCGGCTGGGGTCTGGTCGCCGAGGTCAGAGGTCATCCGCCGGAGGGTGTTTGAGCGGTTGGGCCGTGTGGGCTGGGGCCTGCGGAGTGGGGAGCGCCTGGACCTGTCTGGAAACAAGCCCTACAACGCTGTGACAGTCGGGAATATTGTGAGGAAAGAGAGAGAGAGAGGGAGAGGGAGAGGGAGAGGGAGAGAGAGAGAGAGAGGGAAAGAGAAAGAGAGGGAGAGAGAGAAAGAGAGGAGAGAGAGAAAGAGAAAGAGAGAGGGAGAGAGAGAAAGAGAGAGAGAAAGAGAGAAAGAGAGAGAGAGAGAGAGAAAGAAAGAGAGAGAGAAAGAGAGAGATAGGAGGAGAGAGAGGAAGAGAGAGAGAGAGAGAGAGCTAAGAAAGACTTGAGGGGAGGGGAACGGGAGGAGAGAAAAGAGGGACAGAAAAGGAAAACCAGAGAGGGTAAAATGAGAAAGAGGGCAATGGGTAAATCAGTGAGAGGGAGCGTGAGAGGAAATATTTAGTTGTGTCAGCTTGTTTCACATGTAAAATGTAAATTTGCTTTCCATCATTATAGCTTCGGATTGGAAATTAAATCTTAGCATCCTTATGATAAACCCACGTTG